CCCTAGGGGTAGTAGGACAAATGTCTCTCCACTTAAAACACAAGCTACTTAAGCAGGAAACCATATCCCTCCCTGACGTTTGCTGTTTTGCATTTAAGAGTTTATTACGTTTTTATAGCAGTAGTCTCCTCTGGAGGTGATGATGTGAGAGTGCTTGGCTTCCTAGGTGAGATGGGAGGTGGCTCCTGCTGCCATTTCTTCTCCCTCTTGAAGGAACCTATTCTGTTTTGGCCCCTGGGTCCACCCACACTGATTCCTCCCTGTGGGGTGAAACAAGAGGCACCAAATCCCCTACTTTTGTCTTGAACCACTCCACCAGGGGCCATCTGTGCTTGGTGACATCTCCTTGTCTCTCCACAGTAGCAGTGGCAGGTCAGGAGGACAGGCTATGAGCCATTGTGTTGCCTCTGCTTACAGGGACACAGAGATCGATGACCTTAAGACGCAGCTGTCCCGCATGCAAGAGGACTGGATTGAAGAGGAGTGCCACCGTGTGGAAGCCCAGCTGGCTCTGAAAGAGGCCCGCAAGGAGATCCGGCAGCTCAAGCAGGTCATTGACACTGTCAAGAACAACCTGATTGACAAGGACAAGGGGCTGCAGAAGTACTTTGTGGACATCAACATCCAGAACAAGAAGCTGGAGACGCTACTGCACAGCATGGAGGTGGCCCAGAATGGAATAGCCAAGGAGGAAGGGACCGGGGAGTCAGCAGGCGGGTCTCCTGCACGCTCCCTCACTCGCAGCTCTACCTACACCAAGCTGAGTGACCCAGCCGTCTGTGGTGACCGCCAACCAGGGGATCCCTCCAACACCTCTGCTGAGGATGGAGCCGATAGTGGATTTGTGGCTGCCGATGACACCCTGAGTCGGACGGACGCCCTGGAGGCCAGTAGCCTGCTGTCGTCAGGAGTGGACTGTGGCCTTGAGGAAGCCTCGCTACACAGCTCCTTCACCCTGGGCCCCCGATTCCCTGCGAGCAACACCTATGAGAAGCTGCTGTGCGGCATGGAGGCCGGTGTGCAGGCCAGCTGCTTGCAGGAGCGGGCCATCCAGACAGACTTTGTGCAGTACCAGCCTGACCTGAACGCCATCCTGGAGAAAGTGGGCCAGGCTCAGGTGTGTAGTTCAGTCCTCAAGGACAGGCACTCTGAGCTGGATCGCCACCCTTCAGGGCCCAGAGACCCCGACTCAGCAGTGGTGGTAACAGTAGGTGACGAGCTTGAGGCCCCAGAACCCATCACCTGCGGGCCAACTACACACCGGCCTGCAGTCAACTCTAACCCAGGACTGCCAGTGAGTGTGGTGTGTCCCGTGGAAGAGGAGGAGGAGGCGGCCACCACCACCACCGAAAAGGAACCCAAGAGCTACTGGAGCCGCCACTACATCGTAGATCTGCTGGCTGTGGTAGTGCCAGCTGTGCCAACGGTGGCCTGGCTCTGCCGCTCCCAGCGGCGTCAGGGCCAGCCCATTTACAACATCAGCTCCCTGCTGCGGGGCTGCTGCACGGTGGCCTTGCACTCCATCCGTAGGATCAGCTGCCGCTCCCTGAGCCAGCCAAGCTCAGCGGGTGGCTCCCAGCTCTGAGGCTGCCAGCTCTCCACTTTTGGCAGCCTGACCATTGATTGTAGGATGCGGTTTGCTGCCCCCCACCCCACCTCCCCCACCCCCTCCCCCACCTGCTTCCTTTTATTTACTTTCAGGTCAGGAATAGCGCCCCCCCCCAAGATGTCAATAGGGTCAGGGATTCAGAAAAGCATCCCAAAAACTTCAAGAGAAAAGGTTAAAATGGCTAATTGAAGAGGGAGAAACTGGTAAGAGCTCCCCCCTCTGTCCCCTCTGTCCATCCAGACTTTAGACAAGGCAGGCCCTGCTCAAAAAGTCCCTGGCTGTATTGATCTGAGGATCCTCCCCTCTTCTGAACCATTCTTTCCAACACCTGCCCACTCCATGCCTTCTCTTCCAGGCCACCCCTTGGCCCTCTCCTTGGGCTCCTGGACCAGTATTACCTCCTCAAATGGAGGCAGCCGTGACCCAAAATACAGAGAACCACCCCAAACGGGGTCTGGCTTCCTTGGTCCCACCGAGGCTCCAGCTTTCTTCCCTTGCCCTAGGATGCAAAAGTGTGGTCCAGCTGGAATGACCAGCTCAGGCAGGAGGGTAGGTTCTGTGTCTGTCTGTTTGTCTTCTTGGCTTCTAGGTGTGTTAGATCTTTGTGAGATGTCCAGTGCCCATCACAACTCCTAACACGCTCATCATGGGATTGGGAGAGAGCCCTTACCCAAGCCCCAGTTTCCCTTGGGCAAATCTGCCAGCACAGAGAAGGCAAGGCCAGCAGCCCTATAGAGCCTTTCACCTGAGATGAGTCCATCTCATCTGTAGCCTAGAGGTACCTCAGTGAGTTGGGAAAGTCAGAGGTCACTTACCCCAGGTTCCTTTGGCCCCAAGCCCCACCTATGTTTGCACTCAGTTCCCTGAAGGACTTACTTTCCTGCCCATCCCAGAAACCCCAGGCTGCTTGCTTTCTGGGATGAGGGCTTCTCTCACGGAGCTGACTCCAGAGGAAGATGGCCATCAGGGAGCACCTCCAGATGGGGTTCTGAAGCCACAACATCTGGCTGTCCATGCCAAAGCAGTGTCCCTTGAGTGTGCTTCCCAAGCAGGGGAAAAGCCAGGTGGTGGGAGCCTGTCTGTGCTGCTCCTGGTCCAAGCCCAGTCAGCCTGGGAAAATGCTCTGATCCTCACTTCCCTCTTCTTCCCAGAGAGGTTATACCTACCTGACTGGCCCACCTCCAAGGAGCTGGTAAAGCCCTGCATCTCACCCTCTGACATGGGAGCCTCTCTGGTTCTCTGCTAAGGTCGCTTGCCCTCACTGTTGCTCCAGTGACCACTACTTGACTCATGAGTTCTGCCCCTCCACTCTGTCCCCTCCAAAGGGGCGCCTGCATGCACTGGGAGTGGGCAGCCAGCCTAGCCATCAGGGCAAGAGCCTTCTACCATGCGCTTTGTGCCTCCAAAACTCCCCCACCTTGGTTGGGGCCTCAGACCAGCCATCCTTGGTGGAGCATCCCTACCCCAGCTGAACCAAACCCAAATGCCTGAGGCCTCGCTGGGGCTGCCCCATAGGACACTGGGGTGGTACCATGGAGAGACGGGATAAACCTGATCCAAAGCCAAGCCAGGACTGGCCACGGACCCAGCCTCCTGCGCCATGCACTCATGGAGCTCCATATTGTCTCCCTAGCAACAGTCGAAGCTCTGCTGAGAAAATAAATGTATGAACTATATTTGACAACATAAAATCCATATATTTTTCACCATTGGCATTCAGTCCAACTTTGCAGCCCCTCTGTTCCATGTCTTGCTGTCTGGGCATTCTTGTCATGTCTTGTGTTTGGTGGACTTGGGCAGGGCTAGGACTGTGGTCTACCCTGTTCCTGCTGCTGGAGAAGCCATTGAAAAGGGTCCAGGTTTGTAGAGGCATCAAGTGGAACTGGCCACCACCCTGTTCCTGCTGTGACCCTAACCCTGCCTATGTGATTACCAGAGGACCTCACCTACAGCAGAGGTCCTCTTGTGTGAGTTCTGCCTCTCAGAAGGGCTCTGCTCCTTGCCAGAGCAAGTGGAGTGAGCAGCTCATTCCCCAGCCCTGGGATGACTGGAACCCTGCGGGCTGGGGTGATGGCCCTATACTTAAGTTTATGTAAGCCCAGACTCCCATAGCCGTACAAAGGGGTTGCAATGTCTGTGCAATCCCAAGAGGTAGCCTTGGAGGTAGACACTTGAGCAGCCTGCTGGTTCCAGATATGGAGAAGGGGGCTGAGAGCAAGGTAGAACTGGCCCAGGCTCCCCTTAGATGCTCGTCTCCACAGCTCCCCCATTCCCAGTTGGCCACTACCCCATAGGCTGCCATTTTCCCTCTTGCCCTTGGCTCCTGGAGCAAAACTGTTAGGGTGCTCCTTTCCCCTGCCTCCAGTCAGAGCAGACAAGGTCTCGAGGAAGTGTCCCCAGGAGCTACCTTCTATAGCTACTGGGCCCTTGGAGCCCAGTGGCTTGAAATAGTAGCTCCTTTGTTCTGGAACCCTCCGATAGGGCTCAGTGAGGATTTCTGAACAGAGGCAGCGTTGTGCAGAGTTCATGATCAATGTGTCCAAGCAGGTAGCATACATAGCTTTTCACTGAGACTCCTCTTTACCTATACAGGCACAGGACAACAAATCCCAGGCTCTAGGGCCAAAGGCTACTGAGGAGTCTCCACCCAAGGAACTCACAGCCCCCTCTGATCTAGGTGACAATGTAAACAGGCCACTGTGCACTCACATTAGGCTATCTTGATAGAAACTTCAGGGGACACAGGAGGGGGCCTGTGGGAAAGGGTCGTAACTCTCAGTCTCCTTTGTCTCTTTGTTCAGACAGAGTTGTGCCTGAGCAGACAGCTCTGAATTAAAGCATGAACACACACACAGCCCCTCAGCCTGGTGTCTTTGTACTGTGTCATTTCTCTAAGTGTGTTGGGGTGGGTGAGAAACTCACCATGGCACCCAACACAATCACCTATTGGCTAGCTCAGCCCCACCAGACCCTGTTCTGTAGTGCTGGGCTTCTCTGCCCATCTGTGATCAGGCACAGGATGTAGAATCTCCACTCTCTGATCCCAGGTCCCCATCCTGCTTGGCACAAGGAAAATATTCCAGTTCTTTCAAGTAGTCTCAAAGTGGCTTCTCTGGCCCATTCTGTAGCTACAAAAACAGCCATGACCACTCAGCAGGGGTCCCAAAGCCAGTGCAGAGTCCCTCTACTATCCCTGTCACCCCACAACCACATGCCCCTCAGTGCCAACATCCCTATGATATACTGGCAAGCATCCCACAGCACATAGACCATGGTTTTCAGAGGCACACAGATATGACCCTGGCCTGGCCACTGTCCAAAAACAAAAGCTGCCCCTGCATGCCATAGGACCAGAGAGTCTGGAATTTTCAGGAGCTTTCATGACAGGGGCTGTGTTTTAAATCCACTCTTTATTCAAAAGACAGTAAAGGGTTACAACTAACCTACTGACAAAGGGTTACCATTAATCTATACACAACCTGTGACAAAGATCAATGAAGACAACACGCAAGGCACTCCTCTGTCAAATCAAGCAGCTGACTTCCTAGATGAGGCAAAGTCTGCAAAGGGATACAGCAGCACTCAGTGACATTCTGCTGTTCTGCCCGAGTGCCCAGTATCTAGGGCACAGAGAACCAGGTGCCTTAAGTCCCACCTGTGCCTCAGCATAGCTAGGAGTCAGGATCCAAGGAGGCCTAAAATCGGCAGTGACAGACTCATCCAATACACACCCACCTGGGACACATCCCTGCAATACCCAGACCCAGGCAGCAAGCCAGCTGCAACCTGTCATCAGAGGACTGCTGTCTTCCCTGCAGGATGGTGGGAAGCCTGCGCTGCTCTCCGGTAACTTCAGGTGTCTGGAATGGAGTGGTCCATGGTGTGGTGAAGCAGCAATGGGGACAACCTAGACAGGCAGCAGTGACAGTGACTGAAACCACAGCTGTTCTTCCTTCATCCTCATCCCCAGCCTGTTCACCCCACAGGAGCTGCAATCCTCCCCCACTTCTAAGGGCTTCAGGTCATGAGAAGCCACCAGAGAGTTGACGAAAGGTCAAAGATAGAGCAGACAGACCCATGCTCTGGGTCAGCACCAAGCTCTCGGGGCATGGGGGTGGGGTGCAGAGTGCAGAGGTGGGGTGCAGAGTGCAGAGGTGGGGTGCAGAGTGCAGAGGTGGGGTATAGCGGCCTTACTTTTTGATCATATGTTCGTAGATCACAGTAGGGATGATGGTCAGTGTGATGACATTTCCAGCTGTGGTCAGAATCTCAGTAATCTTTTTGTCCTAAAGAGGAGGAAAGTGCCTGTCATCCGGGGTACTAGGGATAGCACTGCAGCCCAACTGGTAGTGGCTAGAGGACACCACCCACACCTCACACCTGCCTCCAGCAGCTGGCTGCCCAGGACCCTGGACATCAGGCTCAGGTGGGGTATTGTTCCTCTCATCTGAGAATTTCCATGGTCATAGAAGCATGACACTGGCCTCCCATTCCTTGAAGACCAGCCAGCCATATGGACCTGGTAGCACTGTCCCACAAATGTGATTCTTGGGCCCCTACCAACTTTGTTGGGCCCAGTCACACTTGGGCTCCAGTGGGAGACACTGGATCCATCTGTATGCATAGGCTCCTGCTGGTTCACCAGCCTGAAGGCCTCTCCCACACCTCGCTGAGTAGTAAGAAAAGCTTGAGAAATTGCTTACATCATGAAGAAGATAACAGACAATCTCCATGCAAAGGGTGTCCAGCAGTTAAATGACTACAGCTATGGTGACGAGCCTCTGGTCCCCCTGCTCAGGCCATGGTGACCATCATTTTGCATTTATAAGGAATCTGGTTCTGTGCTTTCTTAGTTTGAGGAAGAGATGCTTTAGAGGACTACCAAGGGCTACAAACTTTGAAAGATGACTGATCTCAAAAAGTGTAAGTACCAGACACTGCTCAAGAGAATAGACCTGGTACCTAAGGGTCTCATGGTGCTACAGCTAGGCAGAGTAACCTCTAAGTTCACAGGGATGCTTCATGCCATCTATGCAGCTGTAAGAACCACAACCGAGCATGGCTACTCTTAGCATTATGACTGAGTTGGTAGCTTTTCAAAAGAAGCAATCTGCAGCTGCTCATGAGTGGAATTACTGTACTCAGATTTTCAAGCACAGACTGTGGTGGCCTTTTGCTTGGTATGCTTGATTACAGAGAAACAGGAGAGGATGCACCAGGAGGGGTCTCAGACGCAGAAAGAATTTCCTGAGCAAAGCAGCACAAGCCACGAGAATAAGTCTCCACAGAAGGTGAGGAGAGACTGCCCCCAAGGAAGCAGACGCAAGATAGGAGGGGCTTGTGGCCACCATGGAGTGAGATGCCACCACCTGCCCATGAGCACATGGGGTGGAGCAGCACAGCCACTGTAGAGCGGCATGAGTCGTTTCATCTGTTTGTGGCCCAGACCACACAACTCAGCACTGCCCATTTCCAGAAGACCTCCATCTTTCCAGATCTAGAGCATGTGCCTAAAGCCATGTGCACCGTCTCGCTTTGTAATCTGCCCTCCCTGAAGAATACGCCAAGGTCAGAAATTGATTTCTAAGTCAGTATTCTAAAGGAAACCCCATTACTGAGTGTAATCAGCATCCAAAGAGAAGTGCCACACGGAGGAGGAGGGGGGAGGAGGGAGGGAGGAGAAGGAAGAGGAAGAGGAGGAGGAGAAGTCTTTGTGGACAGCAGCAACCTGGGTGCCCATGTACCCACACATTACAACACCCCTCTGGTACATCCTGTGTGTTAGGAAGGAAAGAATTCTTACTAGGCATCTACTCATTCTGATTACCATTGCTCAGAGTGCCACACACAAAGTCCTACTAAAGCCCCCATAACTTTAGGATGGGGAAGCTGAGGCTCTGGCAGGTTTCACAGACTATGCCCACAGGAGCTGCCCCACCCTCATCATCCCCATGGTGCCCCCATTGCCTGACAAAGCTACACCGCTGCCTACCTTTAGCCCAATGACGTTCTGTCCGTTCACCTCACACACGTAGTGGTTGGTTACAAGTCCATTGCGGGCTGCGGAGCTTCCCTTTACCACAGAGACAATCTTCCCCTTTTTGATGACAAAGCCAACTTGGCCTGAGCTGTCTTTGTGCATGGTGACAGTCCTCTGGAATGGCCTGGTAGAAAGTGACAGTAAGCTGGGCTTGCGGGTGTGGTTCGGGCCAGGCAGGGAGGATGCTGGGACCTGGATACTGACCTGTCTCGAACAACCATGACAATCTTCTCCGCTGATGCCTTCTTCAGTGCTTTGTGAGCTTTGTGTGTGTTCCACCCAGCACAGTCACACCCATCAATCTGCAGGATCTGGTCCCCAAAGCGCAACCCCACAAGGGATGCAGGGGTGTTGGCCTGGACCAACTGCACAAAGAGCCCCTAGGAAGCAGGACCCCAGAGTCAGCAACCCTGGCTGCCTGAGACCAGGCCTCTCAACTAAGATTTCTTTCCCCATATCCATACAACGTAGTGGGACCTAGGATCTATAAGGGATACACAGGTTACCCCTAGTTTGCTGGAAGAGGAAACACACCAGACCACACAAAGTAAGCTGAATCAGAATTTCAGTGTCACGATTTATTCTCCTGTATTGCCCTCCCCAAAGATGTCTGAGTAGTTTTCTCTACAGTCATTAAGAAGCCAGATCCATGGGAGTTAGGGCACAAGAAAATGAGGTGGGGGTGGGGAACTCTTGAGTGAGGCTGATCCCTGCTGCAACAAGGCACAGCCTCGAGGCCTGAGATATTAAGGTGCCTTTCTCAGAATATTCCTTGCTGTGAACAGAGGCTCTCTGAGCCCTGGGAGGGGACCTCTATGTACTATGCCGTCTCAGGCTGCTGGGTAGCTGTCCCAAAGGAGAACTTGTATTCCTAGGGCTGTGACAAGGCTATCTAGCACCAGAGAAGCACACTCTCCTCCAGAGGTTCCTCCACAGACACTGCTTACCTTGTCAACAGCCTGCAGGCGCAGTCCAGTCTTGCCACGCTCATCCTTGCACAGGTGGATCTCTCGCACGCCAGGCTTGATCTCTGCACGCAGTACACCCAGGCTGTTCCCAGATACTGGTGCTATCACCTGGCCAGGACCAGGGCTAGTGACCACCATCTGCAGACACAGTAGTGGGAGTGGGGGGAGGGGTCAGCCAGGCACCTGGGGCCCATGCCTCAAGTGTCTCTGAGTTCTAGAGAAGGATGAATAAGGAGGAACAAACAGTCCTTGAGTTCCCCTCTCACACACTTTGCAGAGGCTTAGAGAAAACAGAGCTTGATGAAGCCACTAGAGAGCATCAAAATCCACACCTCCGAACAAGAGGGGAGGGAGAGATGAAGCTGGGTTCAGAAAGGGGTCACTGTGTTTTCCAACAGAAATTAGTATCATGAAAAGATGCACTTAAATTTCACTTTTAAAAAAGACATTTTCACAGTAAATAGCCATCAAAGATGGCCGGGCTAGTTTTGACTTTGTCTTGGAGAAAATAATTTGAACCCAAAATAAAAATTAACAAACTACCCCTCCTATGGATATCCAAAGGATGTCCAATCTCATCAGACCATACAATCCAGCCAGTGCAATGAGGCAAGAAAATGGAAAAAAATCACATAGGATGGAAAGATACAGTTGCTTCTGTTGACAGATGCCATGAACATCCACTAGAATGTCTACAGAAATCTAAAACTCCTAGCCATAAGTTAAATGCAAACATTCATCAAGAACTAAAATTCAATGTCAGCATACAGAAATCAACTGTGCTGGGACAGGGACGTACATAGCTACCAAGGAGGCTGAGGTAAGAGGATCACTTGAACCTAGGAGTTAGAAGTCAGCCTGGGCAACAGACTCAACTATTTTTTTTAAATGTATTTTTAATTAGATATTATACTTATTTACATTTTAGTTGTTATCCCCTTTCCCCATTCCCCCACCCCCAGGGACTCCTTACCCATCCCCCTCCTGCTGCTTCTATGAGGGTGTGCCCCCATCCATCTACCCACTCCCCTCTCCCCACCCGCAAATTCCCCTAAACTGGGGCATTCCGCCTTCACAGGACCAATGACCTCCTCTCCCATCAATGCCTAACAAGGCCATCCTCCACTGCATATAGAGCTGGAGCCATGGGTCCCTCCATGAGTGTTCCCAGGCTGGTGGTTTAGACCCTGGGAGCTCTGGTTGGTTGGTGTTGTCGCTCTTTCCATAGGGTCTCAAGTCCCTTCAACTTCTTGAGTCTTCTTTCTACCTCCTCGACTGGGGACCCCATGATCAGTTCAATGGTTAGCTGAGAGCATCCTCCTCTGTATATGTGAGATTCTGGCAGAAACTTTCAGAAGACAGGTATATCAGGCTCTTGTTCACATATACTTCCTGGCATCCACATCAGTATCTGCCTTTGGTGACTGCACATGGGATAGATACCCAGGAAGGGCAGTCTCTAGGTGGTCCTGCCTCCAGTCTCTGTTCCACACTTTGTCTCTGTATTTGCTCCCTTGAGTATTTGTATTACTCCTATGAAGGACCAAAGCACCCATACTTTGGTCTTCCTTCTTCATGAGCTTCATGTGGTCTGTGAGTTGCATCTTGAGTATTGCGAGCTTTTGGGCTAATATCCAATTATCAGTGACAGACTCAACTATTTATCTACTTCCTGACCACCCTCCCAAAAAAAAGACAAACTGTGTGAATCTAACAAGACAAGTGTAGAGACAGTATACCAAAGGTGACAAAAATCTAGGATGCAGAAACTGACAAAGACCTAAGCAAACAAAGTTTCCTGTGTACACACACTGAAGAGCTAGCAAAGCTGCTGGCACCTGTGACACAGACACAGCACATTTCTATGGAAACTCTACGAGATGTTTTGGAGGCACAGGCAAGGTCACCTAGCTTTAGGTAGAAAGACAGTGAGATGTGAACAGTGACACTAATTCAGACAAAAAGGACAAAATATGAGGAACCACACAAATACTAGGACATCTCTTGCCACAGTATCCAAGGCAGTGGGTTCTAGACACCTTGGTCAACAGCCATCTAGGAAATCCAGAGAGATCCTTACCGTGGGAGGACAATAGCTTTGTTGCAGAGGTCAAGGTCAGTTGAGGGTAGGAGCTAGCTCAACAAGACCTACTGTAGCAGCAATGGACAGACGGGCAAAAATAGGAACCACGACATAAACTTCTCACTTTTTCCAAAAATCTACTCAAATTCAATTATAAAGTTAAAAGTAAACAAACCTGTAGTAATTTCGGTATAGTGTAAAAGAAAATCTTTAGGACTCAGGCCTTAGGGAGAATTTCTTTTATAAAGGAAAATTTAAAAATAATAAAAGAAAGGAAAAGTATGAAAAAACTTGACCTCATCAAAATTAAAAGCTTTTCCCTCCTCTGTCAAGGAGACAAAGAGCTAAACCAAAGACTGGGGATGGTATTTACAACCCACGTATCTGATGAGGACCCCAGGTTATAAAACATAATCCCTAAACCCACCCTTTAACAATCCAGTTAAAATGCACGGAATGGGGCTGGCAATTCGGCTCAGTCAGGAGAGTGTTGCCTAGCATGCACAAGGCCCTGGGTTTGATACCCAACATCACACAAACCAGATGCGGTTCACGCATCTGGAACTCCAGCACTTGAGAGCTAGAAGCAAGAGGGTCAGAAGTTCAAGACCACCCTGGGCCAGACCCTGTCTCATGTGGTAGGGACAGAATAAGATATTCCACATCACTAATCATTAGGGAAATGCAGGTGAAGACCTGTCATAACTAGTGAGGATGATACCAAGTGCTGGTAAGGATGTGAAGGTACCAGATATATTTGGCACCACTGGCAGGGGAGGAGAATGCACAGCCAGCCCCTCCAGAAGATAGTCTGACAGCAGCTGCCTGTGAACATTTGTTTATCACATGTGTAGTAACTGTATTCCAGCCTGCTATGTCATAAATGCCTTTGGATATAATAGTAAGAAACTGTGCCAATTGTGCATGCATGGGGAACTGAATTCATATTCTTAGAACTCACATAAAAAGCTGGGGAACTGGGGAGACAGAGACAAGGGAATCCCTAACATTCAGTACTGAGCCTGGATGAATCAATGAGCGTCAGGCCCAGTGAGAGACCCTGTCTCAAAAAATAAAGATGAAAAGGGACAGAACAAGACATCAACCCTAGTCTTCACACACATGCACATTTACCACAGACCCACAACATAACGCATGTATACAACATCCTAGTGTACACCCACATCCACATATACCACAGATTCACAACAGAACACATGCATACAACATCCCAGAAGAGTCATTATTTCTGATTTATGCTTAGATAACATTCTCAAATGATAAAATTATACAGACAGAAAAACAAGGTTGGGAGAACAAGGTTGGGCGTGTGGCACAGTGGTAAAACAGCTGCCTAACATCCGTGAGGTCCCAAGTGCTGCCAAAGAAATAAGATAAAAGAAAGGGAAGAGGGAGAGTAAGGAGTGAGAAGAAGAGAAGGAAGAGAAGGTTGCCGGGGGTTAGGGAGGGATGTAGGTGTGACCACAAAGGGGTGGGAGGAGAGCTTCATGAGGAGGAATGGTCCTGTCTTTAGGCGGGGTGATGGATTGCCTTCATTCGGACAGTGCTAAGCTGACAGAGCTATAGATACACACTCCACCAGTGTAAGTTGTTGGTCTTGCTACTGTCCTGTGGTTATGAACGCTACGCTTGATGAAATAGACATTTTATCTTTGCAACCTCCCAGGAACCCATATGTAAAAGCAAAAATATTGAAAACATTGGAAGTTTACAATGGTAAAAATTGCTGAGTGTGGAGCTCGAGAGGGTGTCCAGCAGAGAGGAGCATCTGCTGCTCTCACAGAGGACCCAGCACCCACATGGTGGCTCACAATCTTCAGTAACTCCAGTTCAAGGGATCTGGCGTCCTCTTCTGGCTTCCTTGGGTACCAATCACACATGCAGTGAACATACATACACACAAAACAATCATATACGTAAAAATAAAACAAATCTTTTTCAAAGACAACCAAGGAGGGTGGTGTTTAATTTCAGCACTTGGAAACTGGCAGAAACTGGCAGATCTCTCTGAAGCCATCGAGGTGTACATAGCCAGTTCTAGGCTAGCCAAGGCTATAAAGAATGGCTGGGTTGACATGCATGCATATAGTGTGCGCATACACACACACACACACACACACACACACACACACACACACACAACCTTTTAAAATGGCAAGACCGAAAGGTAGAATATTTAGTGGCCACCTAAGGCAGGAGGCAAATACCTACATTATCACCATCTGGAATCTCGGACAGGTTTTTCTGAACTTCTTGGCTAGAGAGAGACAGTCCCATGTAATTTTCCAGTTCTGCCAGGTTTGGATACAACTCTGATGGTAAGGAAGAGACAGGGTGTCACTCGGGCTTATGCAGAGCCACCCTGGCTGGCCCAAGGCCACTCTTTTTCCGAAAAGTTAGGAAAATTCACCAAGATTACCCTGATCCCAAGTATCCAAGTATGTCATGTGTCCTGGGGATGCTTGTCACTGGCATGGACCAGCTCTGCCAAAGGCTTGCAGCATCTTCGTCTAGGAGCAGGCTCAGACACTGAGATCCTCCTATACTGCTGAGGTACTCAGCTCAGCTGCTTTGGCACCCATTGGGACAGTTAACACAAAGCCATAGCAGGTGCAAGACCACTAGGGACCACAGCCCATGATGGGGACAGGTCAAGTAGACAGCAGAACCCTAACAGTCCTGTGACCTTCTCTCACAGGACTGACCCATGATTGCTATGAGCTTCTGTATGGGCTACCTCAAACACTTGGTCTTCCCCAGATGGCCTGGCCATCCATGGTGGCACCAAATCAGGCAATTTCTGCCTCACCAGGTCAGTTTCTCCAATGTTTTCTGAAAGGCTGAAGGTTAATTGTACATGAGCCCCCCACTAAAAGGACAGGTGAGAAATGGGCACGGAGAAGTGGCCGGAATCCCGAGCCATATTCTCAAGGTCAGCAGAGCCCACACACTCAGGAGAGGCAGGCCTGCCCAGGCCTGGGAACGGGAGCTTAAGAAGTTCCTTTCTGTGCCTGGGTGACAGGTCCAGCAGTGCTGGGGTGCATGACAGTGTTGGGGCTGTCATTGTGTGAACACGGGGATTAGGCTCACTCACCTGAAAGTGGGGGTGCAGATGCCATCGGGGCTGGCAGAGTGGGCATCACAGGTGAGGATCTCGCCTGGGCCTGAAAAAGATGAAGTGTTGCTCAGCTGTGGCTTGGACCCCAGGGACTCTTGGACCCCAGGGACTCTTGGAGCCTGGGACTCTCGGAGGCAGGGGCTCTTAGCATTGAGTATGACTGCAGACGTGTGGTGGTAGGGGGTCCTGGAACCCTCAGGGCTCCAGAGTATAAATGTAGCCTCTACACTTACACATGCTGTAAGCCAGGTATAGAAAGTCCAATACTGCACTGCTCACTCAATTTGAGCATGCTCTCAAAGCTAAACGGATGCTCTATAGCACACAGGGTAACTGTGGTTTACATTCAGAAATTACTAACATTTCAAAATAGGTAGTTGAGAGAGTTTGAGTGTTCCAAGTCCAAAGAACTGATATAAGTCTGAAATGGTGGATGGGCCAACCACCCTGATCTGACCGGTACAGTGTGAACACAGGTTGAAATGTCACATGTACTCCCATGAGGATGTATAGCCACAAAGTGTTAATTAAAAATCAAAACTGCATATTGATTTTTAAATGTGGCCTCTTGGGGGCCAGAGAGATGGTTCAGTGGTCAAGAGCACTTGCTGCTCTTGCAGAGGACCTGAGTTCAGTTCCCAGCACCCACATCACAACTGATAACCATCTACAACTGGAGTTTCAGAAGATCTGATGCCCTACTCTGGCCTCTGAGGGCACTGGACGTGCACACAGTATATATACATACATGCAGAGAAAACATGCATATTATAAAAATAAATAAATCTTTTTTTTAATGTGACCTCTTTGGACATGCATCTTTCTGGCAGAAAGTCTTCTGGTGCCTGTGACCATTATTTTCTATCCATGGCAGCCAAAGCATGAAAGCCCAACTCCCAGCCAGGGAGAGAGGCTGACATTTTCAGGCTTCTGGGAATATAGAGGGGTTGGGGTGGAGGTGGAAGAGTCTGTTTGGGACTGAGCAGGCTGAGCCCATGCCCTGGGCTTCCTGAGGATGCTATCTGGCACGTGGGGTGTTCCTGCAGAGGATGGGAGAAGTGCCAGAACCCACCTCACTGTGGCTGCTTTGTCTTTCCATGTCTGTTCAGACTCCATGGACCTTTACCCCTGGACTCTCCCTTTACCCACCAGCCTCTGCACTGGGTCCCACGGCTTCCCTGGAATTTTCAAGGGCTCCTAGTAACTAGGATCCTCCAAGATAAGCCTTAGTTACTAGTGTTAATCCCCAAGGTCACCATCAGGGACTCTAGGCAAATGGAGCCTGGTTCATTACCTGGATGACTTGGCCCACCTTCAGATCCTCCAGAGATGGGTACAGGACAGACATAACTGTTTCCTGAAGCACACTGCAGAATGCAGAGGGTGATAGATTGTTAGGATGCATCTCCCATCCTCCTGAAAAAAGGCAGGACTGCTGCCTCCTGCCACCTGTGTCCCACAACATGCTGAGACCATCACCAGGAGTTACTCTCTTATCTTAAAGATGAGGATTCACACCAGCCTGTTTCTCAGGCTCATAATCGCCACCCATAAAATTCCATATTTGACTAATCCTGGACCCTAGAAACTAAACCTAGTGGACCATCTAGGATGTACCCAGAAGAAAAGACAGGGTCACGGGCCTCATTTTTCCTACTATGTGTAAAAAGTCAGATGAACTGGAAAGGTTTCCCCATCCAGATTGCCAGGTGAGGCTGGGAGCTGGCACAGTGTCACCCACAACCACAGGCAGGTTGGGACTTAGCATTTAAACAGAAAGGTGGGAGACTCTAGAAACCCTCCCAATCTCTTCCTTCCTGTTTCAGCTCCACGGTATGCCACCTGGCATAGGGTCACTACTGCTGCGATGAAACACCACGACCAAGGCAGCCTGGGGAAAGAAGAGCGGCTCACCCACACTTCCATGTAGCCATCATCACTGAATGCAGTTAAGGTAGGAACTGGAGGCAGGAGCTGGTGCAGAGGCCACTTAGGGATGCTACATTTTGGCTTGCTCCTCATGGCTTGCTCAGGCTGCTTTCTTACAGAAGCCAGAATGAACAGGGTAGCACCACCCACTGAGAACGTGTCCTACAGGCCTGCCAGTAACCAGCATTTTCTCAACAGAGCTTCTGTCCTCTGACTTAAGCTTGTGTCAAGTTGACACAAAAACTAGTTGGTACAACTGACCCTTTGTTAACTTGATAAGTACATCACTTACTAAGTATAACCTTTTTTTCTTGGTGTTCTCAAGGTCTCATATTAATATTACAACCAGTCTTTACAAATTCAAACATTGTAAAATTCAGTCTCTTTAAAAATCCAAGGTCTTGTGGCTAGAGAGATGGCTCAATGGTTAAGAGCACTGACTGAACTTCCAGAGATCCTGAGTTCAATTCTCAACAACCACAATTTTACCACAGCTCACAATCATCTTTTTTTGTTTTGTTTTGTTTTGTTTTTTGTTTTTGTTTTTGTTTTATTTTTTTTGAACATGAGATGCTTTTTTATAGCATGTTTTACAAGGGGAGGGGGTAAGAGGGGTCAGGTGGTGGAAAAGTACAGAATCTTCTTGGCCTCTGCCTTGAAACATGTCATGGTCCATAAGGTACTCTGCCTTGAATTATGATCTACCTGCTATTCTTCAGAAGATATGGTACACTGCTTGAGTTATGGTCTACCTGCTATTCTTCAGAAGATATGGCACACTGCTTTGAGTCTATCTGCAGTTGCCAAGCAGGATCTTGCAGTTGCCAAGCTTCAGAGGACATTGTGCAGGTGGGGAAAGGTAGGGGGTGAGGGTAAGGGCGAGGGTCCTGGCTTCTGGCATCTCCCCCTTCTCTGTTTAGTTAGAGAAGGCATCTTATGATCAATCCCAACTATGTGAGTTTTGAATTTGGATGTCTAATTATGGGGGTTCTTAGACAAGTTCACAACCCCAAAACATTGATGTGAGACGAGTCACATCGATGGTCGAAGGATTTAGGCTGTCGACGATGGGCAACGTCAAGGGACCCCGAGGTGGGTGAAAGGAGGGTGAGAGCCCTGTCTTAGGCCATGTAGGCTGCACCCACTCCCAGCACCACACACTCCTTTTCGGCTGCATTGGGTGGGCCCCTGGGAAGTGGACCTACAATAATCCCATCATTGGGCTCACAATCATCTTTAATGTGATCCGATGCCCTCTTCTGGTGTGTCTGAAGGCAACGACAGTGTACTCACATATATAAAATAAATAAATCCCTTTTTTAAAAAAAAATCCAAGGTCTCCTTAAAATCCAAAATATCTTTAAAAATTCAGTCTCTCAACTGCAGGCTCCTGTAGCATCAAAAATCCTTTCTTACTCCAAATGTTAAGAGCCAAGTGGCAGTGCTGTTGCATAGCACACTGGAGGCCCTGGGGTCTGTACCAGCACCACAGTCCTCCCTCCAAAGAACACATAAACTGGGGCATTGAGTATAACACTGGTCCACAGGGAGGAGGAACTGAGGCTGGAGGGGTACTGCACACACCCACACTTCATCACCCTGCATGAGAATCTCCAGCAGCTAAGGTGCTCAATGAAGCCCCGACTATCACCTCTTAAAAACATGCCATTTCCTTCCTAGGTCAAATGCCCAGGCGAAGTTTGCCCTTCTGGGTTCTTCCCTTTACCTGACCTGGTCATACTTCCTGCCCTTTGCTAGGCAGGCTACTCCAGCTGGATGCTCCACCCTGTCTGTCACCTCCCTCTTGCTGTGCCCACCTCCCAGAGTAGAGGTCACTGCCCTGTCACCCTGGGCCCTGACCCCAAGACAGGCTCTGAGCTATACACCCACCTCCAACTAACTCTTCAGTTATCCTGTGCCTTCCCAGCTCACTGCCACTACTAATAGTTAAGGTATGTCATTCTTGCCCACATGTAACAGGAAGGCTAGAAGGTGGCATAGGGAACTGATTAGGCTGTGCCATGATGCTGTGAACCCTGCCCTGTGAACCTGCATGACCCGCAGACACCTAGGGCATTCTCATGAGTCATTTCTCCCTCTGAACCTGCTGCCCAACCCAAGTTCTCCTTAAGTCCCTCTTGTGTATCACCAAGTCCCCTCCCACCCAAATCCCTGTCATACAGACCTCTATGCCCATCATTACTGTCATAGTACCCCTAAACAAGTCATGACCTCTTTCTCTGCTCTACAGACAGAACCCACCAGGCCTCTTAAGCATGAAGCTAGGGTGTTGTGGCTTTGCTTAAAGCCCCCTGCCTCCGATGCAAATGCCATGAAGGGGTGCTGCTTACTGGCTTGCTCCTTGTGGCTTGGCTCAGACTGTATCCATGTAGAATCCAGGACCACCACCCCAGGGTGGTAATACCCACAATGAGATGGGCCCTCCCCCATCAACCACTAATTAAGAAAGTGCTCTACAGGCTTGCCTATAGCTGGATCTTATGGAGACATTTTTTTTCCAGTTGAGGTTCCCTCCTTTCAGATGACCCTGGTTTGTGTCAAGTTGACATAAGAACAACAGCACAGTTGACTCCTTGACGACCTGACACACAAACACGTCACTGTTGAGCCATAACCTTTCCTTTCTTGCTCATCCAAGAGCACACATTAATATCATCATAAAAATGTAAAACATTCCAACTTTTAAAAGTCTCACAATCTTTAGAAACTCAAACACTTAAAACTCCAGTCTCTTTAACATATTCAAAGTCTCTCTAAAAATCCAAAGTTTCATTAGAAGTTCAAAATCTCCCAACTGTGGGCTACTGTAAAATCAAAACAAGTTAAATACTCTCTTATTCCAAGAGAGAAGAACCAAGGTACAGTCACAACGAAATCAAAGAAAAACCAAACTTTAGCTCACTAAATAACCCAGTGTCCAGCTTCTGGGATTCATTCACAGTCTATGGGCTCCTCCAAATCTTGGGTCACTTCTCCAGCTTCACCCTCTTCAGCAAACACAGCTTGTTTCTTAGGCTCAGGCCAGCTCCAATGCACTGCTGCCACTATTCTTGGCAACCTCCCATGATAGTGGCATCTCCAAAATGCTGGAGTCTTCTGCTATGACTGGACTGCACTTTCACCAACAGCTTCTCTCAGATCCTCATCAGGGGATCCAGTCCTCCACACAGTGCCAAGCCTCCATGACCCCTGCATACCTTCAAAATCAGTACCGCCTGGCTGACACTTAGACTCTTAAGTTCAGCTGCCAGCCCATGGTACAGCACTGACTGCCTCTAGAACACAGCTTCAGTGTGCTGACTCTCAGGAAACACTTCCCAGATTTCACCTCACTGATGCTGCTCTTTTTAAACACCATTAATTTCTCGGCCACAGCTGACTAGCATCAGTTGTCCAAGTAAAATAATGTCTTTATTTCAGTAATTAATCATAGCCGAGTCTTCAGCCTCAGCTGACCAGAACCACCGATTCTTAATTCAAATCATCAAACAGCTAAGCTGGAGTCTTTGCTTCTCTCTGAAAGCTCACAAGTCAGGCCTCCATCACCTTCACTGCTTTTAGCATTATGTTCTAATCCTCCATCCTCTCAGTGCGGCTCACCAAACTTTGAACACTCAATGACTTTTCCAGCCCAAAGTTCCAAAGTCCTTCTACAATCCTTCCCATAACAACATGGTAAAGTCAATCACAAGTAATATTCTACAATCCTGGTACCAATTTCTGTATTAGTTAGGTTTATTTTATTTTATTTTATTTTATTTTATTTTATTTTATTTTATTT